AGAAGTTGTTGCACCTGATAGTTTTTTTCACTCCGACTAAAAATACAATGAATGTGTGCAAGGAATTACGGTGTCGTTGTGACTAGGCAAGAAAAAGGATGTTGTGTAGCGGAAACTGCGTGGCATGCGAGCCAGTAATGATCGGGACGTTGATGAGAGAGACGGCTTCGTAAGACGACCTATTTTATTAACAATAAAACAATAACAGTAAAAACATTCCTCATTAATAGAGATCGCAGGTATCAACCCAGAGTCGGAGGCTTGACGCGTGCCTCTCTATAGATTTAACTTTATACAGATACGTGCACTACCTCACAAAGGAAAAGCGTGGTTTTTATTGTACAGAATTTAGCTAAGTTAAAAAAAGGAAAAAAAAACTTGAGATTCTATAAAAAAGTAAGCCGAAGACCTGACAATCTGGTTGTGGGAACAATTGGGGAGCCGTTTACGGAAACTGGAGGAGACGGTCGATCCGAAGCGCCAGACTCACCAAATACCGAGTCTACAAGGCGAGGGGAAGGGGAAGAAGGATCATATAAGGAGAAGAGGACCAACCCACAAAAGGAGGCGCCATATTTTCCCACTCTTACCATAACCCATCCCCATACTCCTACCTAATTCCGAGTTCAGCTTTATATAATAAAAACTATATAGTAAGGTGACCGTTTGCCAACCAAGAGAAACTGACTGAGGCCCTGAGACGAGAAATGAGGACACAAGGTGGGCATGAAGGGCAAAACAGAGGGACGAGGAGGGTCACAACGTGGGTACGCAGAGGTATGGTACATAGATTTTACGAAAACCGGGGATTTTCACCTTCGGGATACCAGGAAATTGAACCACGAGACATAGAACGTACAAAAACTTCGGGATTTCCAACCTCAATTTATCCGCAAGCAAACTCCAAGAAAAAAACAATGTACAAATAAACTATGGGATTTTCACCCCCAGGATATCTGGAAGTCGAAATCGCCAAAAGTTCTAGCTTTTTTAAAACCAAAGCTCAAATTTCAACTATCCCGCCGTGCTGCAGATAGTTTTCGCGAATACGTTATGCTTGACCACAGAAAAATATACCTCTCTGCCGCCAAGGAATGACAACAGTCTAAGATAGCGTTCCCTCAACTCTGTCCTCTGCTTCTGCTCTTCATTTTCTACACACTCCGGACTGCATTCGTCAACACCAACGCGATCTTCCACTTCTTCAGTCGCCATTCACTAAACGTATTTACTTCGAAAACAGTCGTAATGAATCGAAACAAATAGCAACGCGAACCAGACAAGCCGGTGCGATCATGCGTTTTGTGCAATTCAGCCCATCGAACGATTGCCTATTAATGATTTTCACTGCTGGTGATACCCGAGAGCGCGGGAATGCTGAATTTGAGTGGGCAAGCTTGAGCGTAGGGAGGAGGGCATTACCCTAAAATGCAAAAATAGCTCAAAAATTA